CTATGGATGAAGGAGTTTTGATAAAGTGCTGTTCGACATCTTTCGAGGTTGACAACGAAAGCATGTGCTGACTGGGATTGTCTAGTTCGCCTGACTGGTATTGCTAGTGGAGGGATGATAGCAGATATCTCCGAAAAACATTTCCCGTGGAAGTATCGATAGAAAAAAGAAAGGTCACCGACCTTTCTACGGTGTTCCAATGATGTCAAAGAGTGAGTGAGTGTGGCGTCGCCCACCAGGCGAATGGCTCTTCTCTGGAAGGAATCTAAGAGCATCAGCGTATGTATGGTGCTGAACCCCATATGTGGAAACAGTATTCTAGAACAGGCCGTATCTGCGCTTTGTAGATCATGAAAAGCTGTTGAGGTGTAAAGTAGCTTTTCGCACAAAACAATATTCCGATTTTTGTGAAGCAGCTTTTGCGAAGGATCTGACATGATTATCCCATGAAAGAGTGTTGCTGATGGAAATACCGAGCATAGATATGGTGGGCTTGGTGGGGATGGTGTTGCCAGACATTACAAAATCGGGCATACTGAGTTCCGCCTTTCTAGAGAAAATACAGGCTTGAGGTTTGGTGGCGTTGAATTCAACTAGGTTGTTGGTTCCTCAGGCTGTGATTTCAGCAAGGTCTTCATTGACAGCATTGACCTGCCTGCTCCGTGAGTTCTTAGTTTCCTGGGAATAAATGGAAATTTTGGAAGAGAACGCAGTATGGAGGGTACTATCATCTGCAAAGCTGTGGATGGGGCAAGTTGTTACTCCCAACAGATCATTGATATGAAGAAGGAATAATGTTAGTGCCAAAATTGATCCTTGTGGAACGCCGGAATTGATGCCAATAGTATCAGACGATACACCGTCCACCACCACGTGAAGCGATCTGCCTGAAAGAGAACTCGATGAGAGATGGCATAGCTGAGGTGGTAGGCCGTATGATGGTAGTTTGTGGAGGAGTCCTCCGTGCCAAACACGGTCGAATGCTTTCGATATGTCCAACGTGACAGCTAGAGATTTCCCGTGTTTTTCTAATGAAGCTTGCCATAAATGGGTGACGTGGGCAAGTAGATCTCCAGTAAGTCTTCGGTGGCGAAAGCCGTATTGTCTATCATTGATGATTCCTGAGCTCTCCAGATATTTGATGAGCTCAATATTGATGGCTTTCTCCATCACTTTGGAGATAACTGATAACAGGGCAATGGGCCTGTAGTTGTTGGGCAGGTTCTTGTTCTATTTTTTGGGGATTGGTTGGACTCTACCTGTCTTCCAGCATGATGGAAAAATACCCGACCTGTACGAGACGGTAAACAACCTGCAGAGGATCGGTGTTAGTTCTGGTGCACATTTTTTGAGGATAATGGGTGGAATTCCATCAGGACCGTTAGCCTCATCCATTTTGAGACCAAGCAAAATTCGTGCATTGACGAAAGACGATTTTGGGCATTTGACTCTCAACGGGTCTGGCGGCACTTTTCCTTGGGAATCTGAAGTAGAGTTTGCTGCGAACATCTCTGCGAAAATATTTGCTTCCTCCTGCGATGTTGTTGCTTATGTGCCGTCGGATTTGGGCAGTGGTGGAAATGAACTATTAGTGAAATTTCTCTCGACCGCTTTAGCAAGGGTCCAAAATAAACGGGAGCCATTGGAACAATCTATGAGTTTCGATCTTATCTTGGCATTGTATGTTTCTCTCGGAGCATCCATTGTTTGGCTGCAGTTATTCCTGGCATCAACGTATTCTGCTCTAGTCGCGAGGTTAGGGTTTTTGCGCCAGCGATGGTAGGCTGTTTGTTTCAAGGCAACAGTTCCAGAACAGTTTTTGTTGAACCAGGGTTTTGATGGTGATGATCTTTTCGAAGAATGAGGTATGTATATGTCCATTCCGAGCATGATGATCTCGGATATTTCCGCAGCACACTGTGAAGGGTCCTCAGAGTCAAAGCATACTCTATGCCGGGGAAACTCGGAGAAGAACATGCAGAGACCGTCCCAATCTCCTGAATTGTGATGCCATATAAGACGTGGGGGTGTCAGGGCAGTTGCTGGAATGAAGATTGGGCAGGTTGTGGAGATGAGTGTGTGGTCAGAATTGCCAAGTGGAGCTCGTATATCTATGGTGTAGGGTGCTGAATTATTAGTGAGGAACAAGTCAAGTATGTTAGCTGAATGGTGATTGGCATCGGGAATTCGTGTGGGTTCTTTGATAAGCTGCTCTTAGCCGCGAGTGATGGCGAAAGCTTCGGCTCGTTGCCCAGCTTCATCCGTTCTGTTTGAGCAGTGTTGTGTACATTGAAATCGCCCATGATGATAATTTCTGCTGCTGGATGGTTCTGTTAAATTTGGTCAAGCTCCAGAGACAAGAATCCGAAGACCTCTTTATAGGATGGATCATTTGGTGATGAGTAGAAACAACATAGTTATTTGGTATGTTTCTGGCTTCCTCCAGACATTGTTGATTGTTAGAATTCTTTTAAAACGAACAACCCGATCGTGCAATCAGGTTGAATAGTTTACGACTCACTCTCTGTTCCGCTAGTAGAATGCTCGGCAACAGCTATTCGATGATCTGGCTCGAAGGACCATGTAGGATTTTGCCTACAGAAATATGGGGCTGGTTTTCACCTGATGTAGTAGATTGATAACCAAAATGAATATTTCTGATATTTCAGTCTGATGTTGAAGGTTCAGTATTGATTTCTCAATTGTATAACAAAAACTCTAGAGTATTCATGACAATATCACCAACTATGTATATAGAGGGTGAACAATTATATATGGAAAATTGATCACTGGACTTTGAACTGCAATTCCTTCACCCTGCAGAAGGACGGCATACCCACCTGCGAGATCATGACTGTAGTGCACAAAGCTTCCGATTTATATGTGCCGAAAACCTTGAACAAACTGATGAGAATCACAAATTTCCTTAGATTTTCCTTGTCTTGATATTCTAGGTTAATCAAAGTTTATCTATCTAATCTATCTATCTGTCAGGTCACCACGCAGGCCCTGACGAGACCTACAGGCACATTTTGACCTTGAACTGCAACTGCTTCACCCCGCAAAAAGACGGAATACCCACCGGGGAGATCATGAACGTGGTGCACAGCGACTTCGACTTTCAAGTGCCGAAAACGTTGGGCAAACTGATGGGAATCACCCCGAGAGACGGCTTCGACCAGAATCTGTGTGTCAACAGGCAAGAATTCAGATAACCATTACTCTCGGTACGGATGCATTTTTAGACCAATTAGAATGTTCAAACGCGCGCCTGCGTGGTTCAACTTGATGAAGAAAATTTTTTTTCAAAAGGACATGAGATCATAAACGAGATCAGGAAAATATTTTCCCAGTATTTAGAACGATCTCTACTGGAAGTTTCTGAGGCTCCGAGAGATTTTGACGAACAACTTGATAATATTAAGTGGCTGGATTCATAACAGCATGTCATACTCACCTTTCAGATAAGTTTGGAATGATAATAGTATACTAATTATTATACGAATTTCACTGTTTTATGGATACTCCTACTGAAATTCAATTCAGAACTATCTGGTTTCATTCCATGACTAGCAATAGTATCCAGACATTATATTATCCAGACAAGCTCTGGAATATTTTTCCAGAAAAGTGGGTCCAGAAAGTGAAGTGCAGGATTTATTCGCCAAAGAAAGTATTTCCACGAACTAATAGCCTCGAAAAGTTAGAACAATCCAATACCTACCTTTTCTCCCTATCCTCTTTAGGGAAGCACAATGTGTTTCGAACATTATTGGGATTCACTTTGCGCTCCACGCTATATATGAAAAATTCGAAAAAATAGGATAAATATGAGAACCACTTTGCTGTATCTAGATGTAAGTCCAACTTCCAGATGAAAGAATCAGTGTAGTTGAATGTTACAGAAAAAAAGAAAATCAGCATTTCAAAAAAAAAATTATGCATAAAGGAGGTTAGTCCGTTATGCATATGTTCATTTCTTGAACAAGAATAATAAGTGATTTGCCCTGGTGATCATAGTGGGGGAGGGACACAAAATGAAAGACAGCATCATGAAAAGTCATCTGAATTTTGCTCAAAGAATTTGATTTGTTCAACTCTCTGACTTCCTTTTTATGGACACTTTTGTAGAGTGGTTCAAATCTAGTCGCCAACACCTCACCTTTTCTTCTTTCAGTCTTTCGAAAGATTCGATTTCAATAATGGAAGATTTCGCCTCAAGCTCACAACCTCAAAATGTCTAACACTGTAGAAGCAATATTATAGGGGTTTGAGTACAGGTTGATTCACCATAAATGACCCTCCCTCTAGCTCATTCATTTTTGAACCGATTTGAAATTTGAAAGATAATCTAAATTGATTTTTCAGGAATTTTTATGATTATATGTATATATTATAATTAGATAGATAATTATATATATTGAAATTAGATTTTTAATATACATACACTATATTTGAACGTCTCTAGAGCTGTTTTTATTGCCTTTGGGATAGTTTAGTGATTTCAACTCAGAGGATATCACTTTCAACCGGGCATTTTGAAATCACTTGGTGCCTATATTTATTTCTAGATTGTTTCCTTTTTCTCTTTATCAATGAATGCTATCTAATCCACGACCCTAGGTGTAGTAACGAGCAAGCACACTTCTTGCCAAACTTAAAACGAACAATTGAAGGTAGTTCACCCCGAAAACTAAAATACCCACGGGGCAAACGTTATACTATTTATACTGAATTGGGTATTTTCATTTGAAAGATGAGTAGAGTTCTACAAACAGATTTCATGAGAATAAAGCAATTTGAGTAATCAAAGTTCCATAAAATTACTTTTATAGTGGAAGTCTCCATTTCGAATTCATCAGCATAGCGAAAATCGTTCTGATTGGTCTAAAATTGTTTTCATACCGAAAGTCATAGTTACCTGAAATCTCGCCGTCTACAGGGGTTCGAGTCAAGGAGACTGCTTCGTGGGCAGAGTTCTGCATCCGCCAAGCGGCAGGATGCTGGAGATCTACAGCAACCAGAGCGGGGTTAACTTCAGTACAGCCAACGAGTTTGGTTATGGCAGGTAATACAGGGATTTGTGCTGAAAAAGACCACTAGAGAGAAAATTATGGGGTAGTTTTGATTTCTTCCTCTCTATACGTATTTTGGGTTACCGAATTTGAATCTGAGGTGTGCTAACATTGACTTTATAGGAAATGTATATCACTGTCATTCTGAATAGGAGGAGTAATTTGAGAAAAGTTGAAAGTTGCGACCTGATTAGATCTATTGTGTCGCATCTTCTTCTATTTCAAAGTTTTCTTGTTCAAAGCAGTCCCTCAGCTTCAATTCTCTCAGGAATTTGATGATTTCCAGGGGATCAGTTAATCGTATTTCTTCAACAGTCAGATGGTATATGATCCCAGTACATTCGATCTATTGTGATGTTCAGATAACACTCCAGCAAGATGTGGTGGTGTTCCTGGAGGTGCAGTCCTCCTCTAAGCCTAGTTCTCCTCGATGGCTTTTGAGTTCGAAATGCCCCGTTGGAAGTCCTGTTATTACTGTGAGACTGATTTTGCTGAAGTGGATCACGGTCTTCGATGTCGCTCATTTAAAATTGCCGAGGAGATCTTAAGTCCTGCCACAGTCCTGGAAGTCTTGCTCGCTAGTGTGTTGCTCTCATTGCTTTTTCAGCTTTATTAAGCTCTCTTTGAGGATAAGAATTTTGTAGGCCGTGGAATAGTTCAGGTTCAATCAGTGGCGTTGATACTTTATTTCGTGCTAAAATGTCTGCTTATTGATTTTTCTCTGCTCCAATGTGTCTGGCACCCAGAAGATGATCACCTTGTTGTTTCAGACTAGATTGGTTAGTCTATCTACGTATATCCAAACCATATTTGAGTCGATGTTGAAAGAACGACTCAACGCCTTGATGGATACTTGGCTGTCGGAGAGGATACTATTTCCTTTTCCTGGTATAATCTGTCGTGGTTCCGCTTGAAAAACGCTGGGAACTGGTTCAGTGGTTCGAAATATTCAGTGCGAGGCTCAAACACTCCTGTTCCAGTTCTGATGGGTGATTTAGGCCCGTCCGTACAGCATATTATGAAAGTTTGCTCCATTCTCTCTTGGTGCTCAGTTCCGTTCGGAGGTTTTTTCCCAAAATTGAACTTTCTGATGATTTTCCTTTGTGCCTGGGATTCTATAACCTGAAATGTGCTCCCCAAGAAGTTTTTCTTACCATGATGTGGTAAGGTATGAAGTCCAGAAAGACCTCTAGTGCTGCTGTTGGAGTCGATCTCATTGCTTCTGTTATGCAAAGACATGCTAGGCTTTGCACCTTCTCTGAAATTCTTCTGGTTCCCGAGTTATTAGAAAAGCATTGCCAGAGAATCGTATTTTACTTTCCACCTTTTTTTGTGATTCTCTCCAATAGTAGTGAAGCCCAAGCGGGGTTTTCGGGATTTACTCGAGCGCGGCAGAATGAGATAAGGGGGGTATTATTGGACCTTGTGAAGTACTTCCACCATACCTGGGCCCTTTATATGGTGTCGAATGTCTAGGGCAGCCGATCGTATTAGTAAAAAAAAAATCGATCGTCAGAAATAATCGAGCGCGTCAGATTAAGTCATGGTACGTTAATTACATGCAGAAAAGTTTTCATTACAATAATCCAACGATTTGAGCGTGACATGAGGAAATGGAAGAGCAACAAAGATGCAAAAAAAATCGTCACCTGTACATTCTCGGGCGCGGTTAATTTTTTTTTATTATTCTGTAGGCACTTAGTCACGGATCACGGAAATAGAATAATCTACGATACGCACAAGCCGAAGTAGCGAAAATTATCAATTGAGTGTGGTGCTTACAGCCACTGGAAACTATGTATATAATTGTGTTAACGTGGGAAACTGAAGAAAAAAAGTATTACTTCGTACATTGTTATCAATCAGCTCATAAGGAGGAATCTGAATATGCAATGAAATACAAGGTGTGCTTTAAGAGGAAGTATAACTTTGATACGTCACACATTTTTGAGTAACCCTGTATAACGCGAACAATTTTAGAAATGTACTGCTCATGAGACTAGACCATCTCAAGAATTTTTGTTCATCTATCTCAAACAGCAAAGCCGTTATCTCACTTTGTCACACTATTGGTATGTCTATAAGAGCCATCCATCAAAATTTTGAATTCTTCGAGCTGTTAGAGTCCTGATAGGTACAAAAAACTGACCCACCATGTATAATTTATATTTTAGTTATTACATTCAGTTAACAAAGAAAATCCTACCGTCAGATTGAGGTAATTCCTCTACATAATTGTCAGATTATGGGTGGATACGACAAGAACATTGAGCTGAAGCGTCTGTATAATAATCTGACGCGCTTGAGTACTTCAAGGTCACAATTCTTTTTTTCATTTTCAAAAATAACTCATGAGTTCTGGTCGCGTCCAAATCCCCAGTCTCTTCGATAGGAGCTACTTTAGGTTTCACTTAAACGTCCGTCTCAATATCTGACGCGATCGAATAAATTTATTTTCACCTATTCTCTATCCCTTCGTACGGCCACCCCCACCATGCAAACCGGCAGATTAATATTTTTCGGTTATCAGAAACACGTGGGGCGCATACACTATGAATATCTGATACGCTCGAGTATTTCGATGTGATTGTTTTTTTTTTTACATTTTTGTACACGCTCTCCCCACCAGTGAAAGGTCATACAACATATGCATTCTTTTAATTTTCCCATCTTATCTTCACAATCTGATACGTCTCCACGACGCTCGAGTAAATCCCTATTTAGCCTCTTTGCCTCCCCTACTACAATGTTGCGTATGGAAATTTTGCTAACAAACCCCAGATATGAAATTAGTACCCCGTAATTGAAATTGAATGAATCAGAATCACTCCTTGACTCTCCTAGTAAGAATACGAATTAACTAAATACAGGGTGATGTCTGTGGAAGAGATAACCAACTCGACGATAGCCGAAGAAGAGAAAGTCCAACGCAACGATAACCTGTCTTTCCTCGACACTATGCGCCAGAAGTTGTTGAAGATCCTGCGCAAAGACGAGCAACAATACTACCAAGACCTCAGGGACTTCATCATGAGGCTGAAGATATCCGAAGAAAAACCAGTGGAGTACATGACACCTAACAACTCTCCTAGGGTTACCATGTCCGACGAGAACTTGAACATCGAGGATTTTATCTTCAAGCCGCTTCACGTCGAGTACCTCAAAGGGTTTGTAGCCAAATTTTGCAACTCTCAGTTATAGCATTATCAACAGTAATTACACAAGTGGTGGTAATTTTTTGATAATTTTAACTAGATGCACGAATCTTTGTTGCTATAGAAATTTCACGAGTGGACGAAGTCCACGAGTGGGATTTCTCAATAGCAACAAAGACGAGTGCTAAATCTAGTTAAAATTATTTAAAAAAATAACCAACACGAATGTAATTCGGCGTGATTATTTTTTTTACTATTTCGCAAAATGCCCCAGAATATGTTTATTAAACAATTATTTATTGAACAATCATTTATCATACAATTATATATCAAACAATTATATATCAAACAATTATATATCAAACAATTATATATCAAATAATTATATATCAAACAATCAAGAATGTTTACAATTTACGTTTGTAATGGTGCAATTATTGTATGTTATTGTACAATTTCCTTGAGATGAAGAGGTCGAAACAGTGTTTCCTCTCAAGTTGTTTATCATGCTTGCGTGATGCTCTTTGTCAAGTTGAAGATAGGGTTTGATGGAGCTTGCAGATGAATGTCCAGTTATCTTCAACAACTGCTGCTCACTTACTCCACTTTTAGCGAGTTGTGTCACAGCAGAAGAACGATGTGAATGGTTTGTAACCTTGATTTTGCTAGGATCCAAGCCAATCTTTCGGGCCGCTTGTTTTGTCCATTTTGCTATTTCATTTTGTCCTACCGGAAGATTTTTGTACCACCCCTTAGACAAAGGTTGCTGCCAATTTGGATTAGGTGTTAAAAATAAACGATCAATTTGAATATTTGCACTTCTTTTCGACATTAACTTCCGAAAGAGACGTACTGGACATTTTTCAGTCTCATTTTCATTTGGCGTTAAAAATTTGCTATCAGATAACCTGTGCGATCCTCCTTGTGCTGTTTTAGAAATTATTGGATTATATTCTATCCTTCCAGTTTGATTTCCATAATGATCCATTTCTTCTCTAAAATACTGTACTAATGCTTTTGTCGCTTCTCCGCCTCTCCAAGCCAATTCGTAGCTAGCAGTATGATAAAACTTCCTTTGTAAGCCATTTGGAGTATTTTCGTCCCATGCTGCTATCATTTTTTCTATTTCTTCTTTCTTGAGAGCAACAGAAGATGCTTTTCTTTTTTCAGGAATATGTTGAAGTTCTCGACGTTTGCAATTCCGCGCATCTCGCGCGGTCTTAAATTCAATATCAGTGAACGGATCAATGTTTCTATTATACTCCCTGAAATATTTTTCCTGGATAAGTTTTGCGGTGACATTCCACAAAGTTTTGACAACAGATTCTTTGTAGTTTTCTCCATTTTTTTTTCGCATGTTATATGCCCAGTCCTCCATAATTGATGCGATTTGTTTCATCTCGGTTGTTGCAGTCAACTCATAATTACGTTCAAGGCAGAACTCCAAAAACTGTTTCCATATCGTATTCTTGCTTTTTGTGGTGTTGATTGGTGTTGCTTGTTCGACAGCTAAATGTATTGAATCAGCCGAGCTTTGACCAAATCTCGTGCTCATGTCGGTTTCTGTTAATGACTAATAATAATTGTAAAGTTTTTCCGAACCTATACCAACTCGTTTAAACGTTAGAGAAAATCACAAAATACGAAGTCTGACTGATACTTAACAATGGCGTCGGTTCTGAATTCGAAATGTTTACATTGAGACAAATAGCTGCGTTACCTTGACAACCAAGTCAAGTCAATGCTAATTCTCTAAAGGTGCCCCATAGACTGCGTTGTTGGTAGGCCGTTTTGTTCGTCGAACAAGTCTGTTCGAACAAAAAAGACACAAAACTAAAGTGTGTGGCCAGCGAAAACGAACATTTTACAGCCACACACTTCGGTTGTGCGCAATTTTTGTTCGAACAGACTTGTTAGTCGAACAAAACAGCCTATCAACATCGCAGTCTATGGGTCCCTTTTTGTATCCATTTGAAGGAAGATCCAAACGTGAATAAGTCATCGCGGTAATTTGATACTAACAAATTATCAGTATGATTCCGAATGATTGGCTAGAATCACGCATTGATATTGGTTGAAACAAGGAAAACGTCACATTTTGACATGTAAAAAAAATAATCAATGAAAACGATCGATTTTATTTCTCCACAATCTAGCTATAGTTCACTAGAGTTCTTTAGTATACTTGACATAGATATAAAGAAAGTCAAATGGTGTAGTAGTAGGTGGGGAGGCTGTAGCCAAGCAAGTAGGCCCCGATGGTATATGAAATAAAACGAATGTTCGGTTTCTCAAATAAACCTCACACATTGCAGCAAAGTCTGTCCTAATGAATGTACAATACATTCACTCAACTAATATAACATCAATACCTGCTCAATTAACTACCAAATCTCTCATAAATTCTCATTCATAATAGTTCATAATATTTGTATTATAAATTTGAACAAAATCACGAATATTCCGAAAACGTGAAACGTGACACTAGTGACAGATATGTCCATCATAAATATCAAGATTTTTCCGCACGGATCAATTGTTGCGCCCTGTCTGTTTGCGTTCTGTCTCTAGATGCTTTTATTCAACTATTATTGAATTCGTGCATCATCAACGGAACTCTTTAGGTCCCGAAAGGAGGAAAATGCATCATTTAGGGTCTATTTCAACTTCATAATAAGATTCGGAACGCATTTTGAAATTTTCCAAGAAATTCTCCATCGTTCACGCCATCTATCATCGAATATAAGAAACAAACGTTCGGAACTCGCATTCAAAGTTCAAACCGAGAGTTAGTCGGATGAAACAATTGAAGAGTGGGCACACCAGAGGAATTGGCAAGGTGATCGACCGTTGGGGGCGCTGTTTCAAAATAAGATGGCGGCAAAGAGTGTGTAGTTTGTTTACAAGATTTCTTGAGATTTGCATACATTTTCTTCTTGATATTTCATCGTGTTATTTGTGTTTATTGTTGAACTTTTTACTGAAATCATAATATTTTTTGTTGGATATCATACTGTTCCATCGTGATGTGAGGAAAATAACTGTTACCTACTGACTGAATCGTGGACCAAATAGTCTGAGCTTCCTTCAAACCAGGGCATTTCTGTGGGACAGCTTTATGGGATATCAAGAATCACTAGCATATCCACTATCATTAGAAGCTGATATATTCACCATCATATACCTCTTTAACTCCACTCTTCAAGCAAAAGGATCCTACAGACCACAAATGGTGATACCAGGACTATCAGAAGTGAAGCTTTTCAACAGTGAACAGCCTTCTGTGAACATATTGAAAACCATCCCTAAACAATGTGTTAACCTATTCGACTATCTTGTGCTAAATATTATAGCCATTAGAATCATGTGCAATTGATCCATATACAATAGAACACTTGGCTTATCTTCAACATAATTACTTCCAGGCTTTGAGGATTGTTTACAGTGCAATAACTCCCATACCTCATATATTATGGTGCTCCACTGCAATAACAGCAAATTGTCATGATCCTTTGTGCCATGTGCGTGAATTGTATCCATATAACACACTTTTCATAATGTGAATATTCCTAATATACTTACAGTTGAGGTAGGTGGCATCCTAGACTGAGTTTTCTTCTTGGAATTCATTTAATATCTTGTAAAGCTATTTTTTTTTACCATATTGATGAAATCATTGAATAATTTGGAATTCAACCACATGAAACATTGATCAAATGACCTAGGATTTCAGTTAATGTATTTACACAGATTATTATCATAAATTTTGTGATTTGATATCATTTTGTAATCCTGAATTCATCTAATTGAAAATATCTATCTTATCAATATGTATAGTTCATTAAATTTTGTATATTTTGGAACTGAATTAATAATAATTTTCGAACATGAGAGTACATTGACATAACATGTGTTTTACTGTACTTATGCCACTCCAAAGAAGTCAAGAAAGAAGTACCTACAAATAGAAGGATCGTCCAGTATACTCATTTTCTCAGTGCTCATGTATACTGTTTTTCCCTGAATTATTTTACAAGATACCTCCATAAAAATTTACAATTATAAATGAATTTGAAATCCAGGACTTTCATATAATTATGTAGAAATAAATTAACAATGAGCATAAGTAAGTATCTACCTGGTAGGTACCTATTTTAAATGGAATCAGTGAAGATTATGAAGTGAAACTTTAGAATTGCATCAAAAAAGAATGAGGTGTTGATTGAGGTAGTTGTGGAATTGGAATATGAATTTTGAAAACCTACAATAAAACATTAAAAAACAGAAAAAAAAGTAGAACTTTCACTTATGAATATATACAGTTTAATAATAACATACAAGCAGTAAAATTATGGATACATTTTTCCAAGATACAATTTGAAATGTCATGGATATGTTCAAGTACCCAAAAGATCAGTGATATCTCCTCAAAAAGTTGAATTCAACTTCAAGGAATCTGGGTTTTGGTATCAATTTGTGTTACTATTTGCACTCAATTGTAAGATACCCTGGATGGCAACTCCTCCCCTGCTGAAAAATTGAAGAAATGTTAGTACTTACTATAAACAAACCATATCTATTAGCTATTACACCATCTAAATATTCGAATAGAAATAGATTGTGTCACTTCAATGTATGTTCAAAGATTCAATTCAAGCTATGAAGTAAGCTACCTACAATGACTTGCTTGTACCAGGGTTATTATATATCTCTATAAAATATGCTACTGTTTTTGCTCATATGAATGTAATTGGGAGCTGTATTTAAACTTAATCATTTTGGGAGTACATGCAATCTGCAATGGCTATTTCACTACAAAGATGATACTACAAAATAGGAATCTATGGAGGCCTAGGCAGGATGTCATGAACAAGATTTTTATATGAGTCAAGCATTACAAATAAAACTATGAATTACCCACCTGCACATGTTCATAATGTCTTTTCTTGCTTTGTGTATTGCAGTTCAAAAGTCAAAGGCATTGAATTTGCTTCT